ATAAAACACCATCATTCAAGGAAGAGAATTACAATAAACTATGAATTTTTACGAAGTGTTGATAATCTTTGGTGAAAGCAAAGTACGCAAGTTTTCAGCTGCCAATAAAGTATTAATGAGAGATGTACCATAGCAATTACAAGGACTAACCATTCCTGAGTAAAGACTTATTGGTCTCTATCACCACAACAGTTAGATTGTGAAATTATATTCGTCTGCTCATTCAACAAGTACACCTCAATCACCTTTAAGAGGCAACTGCATAAGCTTTTCTCAATATGTGATTAACACAGTTGCTACCTTGCCATTAGAATTAGATGATCTATGTAATTCTCTAACAATTATTTTTGTTGGTTGTCAGATTCCATAAAGAAGTCAACTAAAAGATATTTTGACAGTTCGAAAGACAAAGGTTTCTGATGCAGTTCAATAACTTAGTCCAAATAATCTACTCCATCGATATGTTATAATGAATCAATCAACAATCAATAAGTTACTTGAGGACGATGTCCCAGAGTGCTCCTGGGTAACAATGGGAATTTCCACTGAGGTAGAAGCAGTTGAAAACGGAAGGGCAACTTATATTTTCAACCCTCAGATCAATACATCTGAGCCTAACACAACAATACTTATACCGATAAGTGTGAGGTATAGTAACAAGGCATTGATATTTTTATCTACCATTGTTTGTGTTGTAGTGCTATCTTAGATGTTAACGGTATGAAAATTTCATCTCATGACGTTGCTGAACATCTTTCAAAATGAATGAATGAATGTGCAAATGGATGATAAAACGTTGAAAAAAGACATCGAGGAAAACGCTGTACAAGATACCGTTTGCATAATTGCTTGTGATAATAAACCGATCAATGAGTATTCTAATCCAAATCTTTTTTTTGGTATCTTTCCTACATCTTTTTCCGTATGGATGTGGTGCATTTGAAGATTGCTCTGGACCAGTCCAAATCAATTTTCATAAGCACCTCAGATATCTTCTTTCGTAAAAAAATCGCCGTTTTGAAGAACACTACTCATTCATATTTGTTGTCTTCAATATTTTACAACGTCGAACAGAATGTTTTCATGCCCAATTAGTGACGAAAAGACCGTGGTTTCAACAATCTGCACAAGTTCTTAACTCATTGAGCTCTGAAGATGTAACAGCAGCTCTTATTAATATCTCAAAAGCGCCTTATGCAAAAGTTACTGACGAGAGAATAAATACGTTGATGAAGCATATCGAAATTATTGGTGGTCATGTCATGGGCTCAGCTCATTCACGATCAGCTCTTCGAGCGAAAATTCATTCTTTGTGTTTTTATCTTGGTCTTCCTAGTCTTTTCCTCACAATCAATCCAGCTGACATCCATAGTCCAGTGGCACCTTACTTTGGAGGTGTCGATCTTGATCTTGATCACGTTCTGCCAGAAGTCCTGCGTACAAGTTATGAGCGTGCTCAAATTGTCGCGACGCACCCTGCAGAAACTGCAAAGTTCTTCAACTGTTTAATAAAAAACGTTCTGAAAAGCCTAGTGGTCGGTGGTGTGCTCGGTCCTACAAAAGCGTATTTCGGCACTGTAGAGAGTCAAGGAAGAGGATCGTTCCATTTACATCTCTTGATTTGGCTCAATCATGAATATACTCCAGCACAGTTGAAAGAAAATATACAAAATCAAGATTTTCGTGAAAATTTACTAAAATATTTAGAAGATATTATAAAAGAAGATTTAGGATTGTTTCGAGGTAATATATTTAACATTGTTTGAATTTGTGATTTGAAGTTTTTATGTATGCCCACTTGATACTGTTTTACACACTGATAGTGTATCACTGCCTTGCCTTGAATTGAGGTTTCAGAACATTTTCAAAATTTTCATTAATCCAAAATCTATTTCATTCCAATCACCTACTCTTACTACATATTTGAGACTTCTAAGTTTTGTACTTTTAAATATCAGTATTCTTTTTTAAGATGAAACCAACGACGGAACAAGTACAACCAGTGACAGAAGAACATTAAATGGTGAGCTCTGAAACTTTTAAGAATCTTTAATGATGAGTTTCGCTTCATTTTAGGAGAAACTAAGCCAATAGCAAGTGAAGTTATACCAGCATGTCTCTCAACACCAAATCCTGCGTTGGAAGTCTTTGTTCAAACGTTTCGCAAAGATGTAGTTCAATTGGTCGAAATCTGCAATATTCACAAGCATTCTGCAACTTGCTATAAATATTCTAAAGGTAAAAATGATAGTTCAAAAAGGTGTCGAATGGGTATGCCACGCGCACTAGTGAATGTTTCTAATATTGACCTTACAACAGGTCAGATAACCATGCGTCGATCGCACTCGTGGATCAATAACTTCAATGAATGGCTCTTAAGTGTGTGTCGATCGAACAGGGACATGAAGTTCATTTGGAGTGGTAACGACCCTAAAGCATTAGTTTACTATATAACTGATTATGTAACAAAGTCTACTCTGGCCTTCTATGATATGTTTGCGCTGGCACAACAAGGCATCAAATCTATCGAGCACGAACGAATTTCTAATAGCACAGATAATATTGTTGACAAATCGCGTAAACTAGTGTTACGCTGCTTCAATATGATTGCTTCACAACAAGAAGTTTCAGGTGTTCAAGTTGCGTCATATCTAATGAACTATGGTGACCACTACACTACACATACGTTCAAAAATCTTTTTCTCATTTCAATCGAAAACTATCTACAAACGGAACTAAATAAAGTACGAATTAACGAAAAAGAAATTGTTGAAGAGAGAATAGATGGTAGAAATTTTTAAAATAATTGTATAGATTTTTAACATGTTGTTTTCTAGAGACTTCAACGCCTTTCTACGATGAACAAGGAGAAGATAAAAACGAAATCGAAGAACAATTTTTATTAGAACCCACAAAAACCAACAACGGCGATCAGTATGTCTTGGTCAATACTCGTCTTGATTATCAGCATCGATCAAAGGATCTTAGTGCAGTGTGTTTATACGATTTCGTCAGCCATTTTCATAAGAAGGTTATCGACAAATCGGATCGTCGTTTACTAAAGATTGTAACCAATTTTCAAGGCCAACAATTACCTACAGAAGGAACGAAAATGAATGAATGTCATACATTTGACAGCGCACATCCGCAATCACTATCTCATCTCACAATTAAACGTTCCATTCCAGTAGTACCAGTCCTGATAGGTACTCAAATACCACGCCTCGAACGAGAAGAAACGCATGAACGTTATTGTCGCGCATTGTTAACATTATTCGTTCCATGGCGATCAGTTCAGGACCTTTGTGCACTGAATGAGACATGGTCTGAAGCATTGGAAGCTCGAAGACTGTTGATCTCTCCCAACTCGCTTAAGATTATAGAAAATATAGAACTTTTGCACGAATGCAAACACGATCGGGATGAACATCTTCATCAAGTTCTTTTAGAAGCCAAAAATGAAAACAACATTGACCCTATTTTGATGCCTAACTACTATGAAGGTGATGAAAATGCAGACAAAAATGATCCGGAACAACTTTTGCAAATGCTTTTCATCGTAAATGAGACCACCACAAACGCTTACTCTGCATTGACAGTTACTCAAGAACAACGCTATGTTCATGATGCATTAGAACCAATTGATAATACAGACAGATTTGCACTACTCAATGGTCAGTTAATTACTGCCATATTTCGAAAATATTTAGTTTGATTTAGGCCGTACACGTTGTCCGAGCGAAAATAATTATGGCACCATACACGACATCAACACATTTGTGGTAGCTCACGCACATCACAGCGTCATGATTAAAGGATGGAAACGTGACATTGAAGGTCGACGAGATGAAGCAAGAAACTATTTAATTTCAGGTGAAAATACTCTGGAAGTGCGAGATGATGAAACACAGATTGAAGTCGTAGCAACTGAAATTCCAACAAGTCCCATTAAAACGAGAGCTACAAGAGTTCCACCTGTGACTACAACCAATGCAATATTATTTCCAACAAAACAAGATATTATCAGACAATTTACACTAAGCACTCAGCAAAAATATGCTTTTATGATTATAACTAGTCACTTAGATGGCGAAAATCATGCTTATACCGGTATATAATATTTTATTGATTTTGTTATTGAAAATTTTGAATAGTCTTGATATTTAGATACTATCGATAATCAGTTATTAATGTGCATACCTGGTTGCGGTGGCACTGGAAAATCTCAGTTGATTCGTTCAATTACCAAATATTTCCAAGTAACCAAGAGGGACAAGATGTTGCGTAAACTGGCACCAACGTCTATAGCAGCAGCTGAAATTGACGGATTAACTATCCATTCATTTTTAGGTGAAAGTCGCAAAAACAGTAAAAAGAAACAAACCCGTACATTTAGACCTGGCGATACGAAATTGGAAAATGAATGGCGTCATGTGAAGTACTTGATAATCGATGAGATGAGTATGGTAGGACTTAGCCTATTAGCTCGTCTCAATCGAATAGTGAAAACAGCCAAGCACGTAAATTCTGAGATACCTTTTGGTGGTGTCAATGTCATTTTCTTTGGCGACTATCTTCAATATTCTCCTGTTTTAGACAAGCCTCTCTACTATAGCTGCGCATCGACACAGCAAATTACAGAACGTCAGATAGATATGTTGTGTGCACAGAAACTTATGTCTGAAATAAACTGCGTTGTTGAATTAACTCAGCAAATGCGAACCGAAGACATAAGATATTTGGAGCTTTTAAATAGATTAAGACATGGGCAATCGACAATAGAAGATTACCAACTTCTGTGTACGAGAGTCATAGGAAATCCAAAACTTCAAGTATCTCTACAACAAAAGCCATGGAACGAAGTATGCACATTCATTTTCTCTGTGTATCACATTACTTTTCTTTTAATAGGCTACAATACGGGTTTTTCGGAATACGCTACGCACTCAAATTAACAATAGGGCTGTCTTAAACAAAACAATGGAAATGGGACTTAGCCCAATTGTATGTATTGCTCAAGATTATATTCAAGGAAAAACTGTGGATGATTTACGATTACGTCAAGCGATACTTGAATTACCTGATAATAAAACAGAACATCTTCCAGGCTATTTACCTCTCGTACCAGGAATGCCAGTTTTACTCACAGAAAACGTTGCTACTGAGCTCGGACTGTCTAACGGTACACGAGGAATCTTTCGTCAACTTGTATACAATGAATCACCAGAAGATGTTCGATACCAAGATAAGAATTTTCCATTAAATACCAAGTTTATAACGCAACCAAAGTACGCTTTAGTAGAATTTCCTGGTTGCAAGCTTGATAACAAACTTGCTGAACTACAGTCCAAAATAGTTCCTATAGCTATTAGTGAACAAACATTCTTGTTTGACGCCAAAGAACTTCTTCCAGCAAATGTAGCAAAAGCGGCTAAAATTAACAAGAAAACAACAAAACTCACCGTCAAACGTAAAGCACTTCCACTTATACCAGCATATAGCATGACTACACATAAAAGCCAAGGTCAAACACTCGGTAAAATTATCGTCGATCTGGTGATGCCGCCTGGTCCAATTGAACTCGCATCGGTTTATGTTTCATTATCTCGTGTAAAGAGACTAGATGATTTACTAATCATACGTCCATTCGAATTTGGAACACTTCAAGTTAAACCATCAACGGCCCAAATAGAAGAACTTAAAAGATTAGATAAAATAGCACAAAGTACTCGGAAACGTTTTCAATTCATTGTTTAAAACAACAACATCCCAAGAGTGCCGTGATCTTCAGGCAAACCATCTAACTGATAAAAAAAAACTCTATATTGCATGCTCGAAATCTGTCCGTTATACAATTATAGCCATTAGATCATTTGTAAAACCTCTATGTAACTCTATTTGAAATCAAAGCCATCAAGATAAAAGAGAATGAAAAGAATTTGAACAGTGTAAACCCGCTGTATCCGTAGGAAGTCACTATTGCTTGCGCAGTCAATCCGAATCCCAAGCAGCATTTGACAGCTATGCACTACAACAAAAGCTACATTTCACACGCGCCATATCAGAAAACTTTCTTAAGTACGGATTTCAGAAAGGACCAGTAATGACAACATAGTTTTCTTACCAACATCGCCGCTAATACTCGCAGTGCACTTTCATGGGACCTCGTCGTAATAAACCGACAAACTATATCGAGAACTAAAGGTAATCGAACGACCCTCATTTCATTAAATAAACTTCCATAAACAACAAGCATAGTAGCATTAGCTACACTCTAAAAAAAAAAGGTTTCCTCGGAAACCGATACCCCTTCGGAAACCTTTTCGCAAACCTTTTTAGGTTTCCGGAAGGGTTTTCGAGCTTGTGTTGAGTTTCTGACAATACCTTGCGGGTTTCCGAGCATCCGGAAACCAATGGATTTTGGAGAGAGCGGATTCGGAAACCTTCAACCGTATTCTCGGAAACCGGTTTTGCTTCGAAAACCTTTTCGGGTACCCATTGCGTATCCTCGCATACCTTTGGGTTTTCGATATTTTTTTATCGAAAACCCTTTTGGGTTTCCAGGCATCGGAAACGGTCGAAGCGTTTTCCAAAAATCTAGCAAGGTTTCCGAACATAACTCGAAAACCCCTTAGGGTTTCCGAATGTTGCGAAAACCTTTGAGTTTCCGAGAAAAAGTTTCGAAAACCCATTAAGTAGTATGCAAAACCCAATTAGCATTCCAATATGATCTTTTTTATTCTCATGTTCTATCGTGTGATTTTCAGGTAAAGCGGTGCTCGATATGCATGACATAAACCTTACTTAATTTGTGTGAAGTTGCTTTGTAAAACATAAGAAATCTGAGAAGTGTAAAAGAAGGCCTTGTTCCCAAAAGAATTCTAATTCGTTTTTATATTTCAAATAGCCTAAAATTTGGACGTATTATGACACATTTTACGGTGAAAATCGAAGAGTCTCGCTAAATTGGATGGTCACTATATGCCCTCTAAAGGCATCGTAGTCAAGCAATTTCGTACCGAACTTAGGTTTTTCTTCCCTCGTTATACTATGGACACATGTTCACCAATATGAAATTCAGATCAACGTTAAGAAGTTAGATTAAGGGTTACAATAAGCGGACAGATATACATTAAAGAGTTAGAATAAGACCACGGAATAAGACATTACAACAACGAGTTAGAATAAGGGGATACACATAGATTAAGGACTTAGATAAGCACGATACATTTAGGGATAGATATAGATTAAGGAGTTATATTAGAGGTTAGAATAAAGGGGTAGAACAAGAAAGTAGAATAAGGGGACAGATACAGATCAAAGAGGAACA